CATGCTGAAAAACAGCTTTCCGACAAACAGTAACTATAGTGCACATCAACTTGGAACTTCCTGGAATTTACTTTGTGATTTGAAATGATGCCTCTTTCCAAGGAAGCTGCATGGTTGTTATTCATGAGTGACTTGAAATGGAATTCACCTCAGGGTTTCAACACAAAGGAAGAGGGGAGGGGAGAGAGAGAGGGACGGCTCACAGATAAAAGTTCACAAGATTCTACCAATGACTTGTTTTTTTTTTTTTTTTTCAGTTTTAATTTCTTTTTTTCTGTCAGTTGTGAGGCTTGAACTCAGTCCCTGAACCTCTTTGTGCTCAAGGTAGCGCTCTACCACTTGACTCACAGCACCGCTGCCAGTTTTGGTGGTTAGTTGGAGATAAGAATCTCCTGGGGATTTTTCTGCCTGGTCTGGCTTTGAACCATGATCCTCAGATCTGAGTCTCCTAGGATTACAGGTGTGAGCCACTGGTGCTCGGCTGGTAAGCCTCTTCCCCCCTATAGCCTTCTAAAGGTTGTAGAAGGGGATTATAATTTCATGGATCATCTAGTATCAAGTGTTTCTTGATCAGAGTCAGTCTTCCCATCATTCCCCTCCTATCCCTTCTGTTCCTCCCCCTAGACTGATTTCACATTTTCCACTGCCTTCATCACAAATAGACACTGAACATTATGGCTATATTTATCCTCAGTTCCCTTTTTTTTATTAATCCACCTATCTTGGAGATTTGTTTTTATTTTTTTAAGGAAATATATAAGGAAAGCCTACGGTAAACCACTTAAACATTTTAGTAGGAATAACCTTAAGGATGCAAATATATTAACACAGGCCCGGCCACTGGTCACTCTTTTGTAAGATTACAGTTTTTCCCTTTGTCCAGTGTTCTAAATGCTAATGAAAACTTCAATGATTACAATACTAACTGTGAATTACTTTTTCCTTCAAGTAAGAACCCAGAACATCTGGTCACCTCTAGATAAAATCAGAGAAGTAATGCTTCTCCCCGATCTTCAGTTCTGTGCATCCTCAGTTCTGTCCATCAACTGACTCAAAGCATGTAAACTGCGAGTGATATTTTTTTGTATCATCCTGGCCCTTGGTACCAGATTGGTAAGACTACAGGTCATGTGTGCATACCAGACACATGCAAATCGGTTTTTTTTTCTCATTCCAGGTCTCAAGCTCACATTAAGGGATGAGAATCCTGGGTGGAGGAGGCAGGGTAAAGTTGTGCAGTGGAAGGTTTGGTGCATAGACTACCTCCACCACACATGACAGCACGTGGGCAATTTATGCTCACAGATTTATAAATAGAAGTGGTCCAACAGAAACCATTTGCAAATCTTATTCTCAGTCCCTTCCATTTGAATTTGCACCAGCAACCATCGCCCTGGAGGCAAATGTTGAGAATAGACTAGCTGAAAGCAGGGAACGACTATTTCTATATGACACACATGCTGGTTAAAAATCAGAACTAACAATGTATTTTTAGATTTTGCACAGAAGCATAGTTATTCTTGTAAGCTTTTAAAATGGGCAAAAAGTCTTAAAGAGAACTGGAAGGTCAAGAAATTAAATGCTGTAAATGGACTCAGGATATGAATATGTAATAAACTCCGTTGAAGATGGTTAGATGATAGGAGACAGTTATTTTACAGAATATCAGGGTTTTATCTTTTTTTTTTTTGGGTCCGGTCATGGGGCCTGAACTCTGGGCCTGGGCGCTGTCCCTCAGCTCTTCAGCTCAAGGCTAGTGCTCTACCACTTGAGCCACAGCACCACCTCTGGCTTTTTTTCTTTTTGCTTATGTGGTGCTGAGGAATCGAACCCAGGACCTCTGGCATGCAAGGCAAGTGCTCTACCACTGAGCCACCTTCCCAGCCCTCAGGCTTTTATCTTCTTCTTGGCATCCTTGCTACCACCATCTTTCAAGTGTTTATCATCTCCAAATCTTGAGTATTCTACCATCCCACAGGGCTCTTCATCCTCCATCGCCCACTTCTACTAACTAAGCTACTTTTGCTCTGGCCACTAATGGGGGAAAAAATCACTTTCTACACAGCCCAAGGTAGAGAGATGCTTTTTAGTTATAAGACTTTGATATATAACCTGTAGTAGAAAAGACATACATTTGGTATTGTATTTGATTTTGGTATCCTGGTATTGTATATATGTTTATTTGAATTAGGGACAGGAAGGGGAACAGCAGAATGGTGAAACAAAGGACAAGGGGGGAACTAATGCAACAGTGATATACACAAGACAACATGTTGGAAATGATCTGTACAACTTGGGTGGGGGGGTGAGGAGGAGGGAAAGTAGAAAATTGAGGGAAGGGGTAACAAGGTTGACAAGAAATGTACTCATTACCTTACTTTATAACCGAAACCCCTATGTACAACATCTTCATAATAAAAAAAAATAAAGAGGGAGAGCAAACACACACACACACACACACACACACACATCTCAGTTCCTAGCCACAGAGCTCCTGAAATCTTCAGATGTCCTGCCTTAAGAGTGACTGTTGTTCTCCATAGCCAACTCCTTTAGAACACATCTGAGTTTATGCTAATAAGGTGGATATGGTCGCCCTAGATAATCTCAAGATAGGATTGGCCACCACCTGAATGACCAAATGATTATAATCATAATTATCACCCAACCCCCAAAGCCTCAAGGAAAGACAAGGACGCCGGAGATTTTCTACACAAACTCTTAAGCAATGAGATTCAGAATTTACAGGTTGGTGAACATATCAAAGTGTTGGCATGCTGGGGCACCCAGAGAAGGTATGTGAGTTCTGGACTCCTCCTCCCCCCACCCCTTGACCTGCATATCTTTTCCACATAGATTCTCTTCTCCCCTCAGTACTCCCAATTATGTTGACTTACCCTTCTTAGGTCTCAGGAATATTAAAGTATTACTTTCTTTTCTCTCTACTATTTTCAGTCTTCCTCTCAATTGGATCCTTGACAGACAAGACTCAATTCTCTCCTACTCCAAAAAACCAAACCAAACTAAAGCTCTTACTAAAGTAGGTATTTCCTGCTGTTCCCCTGATGCTGTATGGATCCAGAGTGTTTTATCTTCCTTAGAGCTGGGTTGATTTTTTTTTTTGTTTTTGCTTGTTTGTTTCTTTTTTGCGTAGCTTAAGTTAAAACTTAGGCTAGTCCTGAACTTGCAACTTTCCTGCATCAGTCTTTCTTTCAAGTGCTGGGATTACAGGAGTGTTACCACCTCACCCAGCTTCAAGAACAACCTTGTATAGAATTTTGCACATGTACAAGTATACCAGCAGGCAGATCCAAGAATGAGACTGCTATTTCAGAGTAAAGATTCTGATAGGTGTGGCTAGGTTTTTACCACATAGAATCAAACCATTTCATGCTTCCATCTAGGGGAGATTATACCTCTCTCTAGTCTTGACAACCGGTGTTAACACCCTCTGGAGGTTTGCCAGACAGATGACACATTGTTTTGTCTGCATTTCTTTATTGTGATGGAGATTAACTTTGCTATCTGGGTTAAGGAATTGTCTGGTGTTTCTTTCTTTTTTTTTTTTTTTCTGTAGGTTAATGCCCTTTATCCAATTTTTAAAAATTGGGTTGCTAGTTTTTTTTTTAAATAACTGAGCCCTCTTTATGTAGCAGGAAGATTGGAACGTGCTAGATTTTCTGTAACACGTCAGAATCATAGGGTTATAAAGAGGCTGAATGAAGTCATTCAAGCTACTCTGCTCCTGGAAAACAGAAGATCCTCTCAATCTTGTTTTGGATCTGAAAGGCATGCATTCATTATAGAAATAGAAGAAATTAACCACCTCAGTCCCATGTTTCTATACTTGTTTTTAAGGTACAGAGTGAAAGGGAGCATTTCCCTGATCAACCAGTAGCTACCCACAGCTCACAGCTTGTACTTTTGCTTGTTTTTATTCCTTACCGGTCCTATTAAAAATTTGGGTTGTAGAAAATTCAAAAGATGATCATATTTAAGGACTAAACTTACTTATTTTTGCATCTTTCTGCAAGGAGCTTGAACACAGAAAAAGGCTGATTATTTATCAACATCTCAAACAAAATACCAGGTCAGGGCCTTGATGTACCCTCTTGGACTCTTCCAAAGTCAATTCTTGGTTATCAAGATTTTAACTTCTACTTAATAGCACAACCTCAAAACATCAACACAAAAGACTCGAACCCACCAGTGATTCTAAGTTTAAATTTATGTTTTGAAATTTAAAAAATGCAAAATAACAATTTAATAAAAATCGTCACACAGACACACACTTTAAAATGCCATTACATGCTATAGTTACTTAGAAAAAGTTAACAGATCTAATCAAAACAAAACAGTAATGGATTACAAATATAAGTTGTGTCTTTGAGGAAGAAACTCCTGTGAAATGTCAGAGCCAGTAAGGAAGGGCTCAGCCCCTCAGGGAGGGAGGAAGCCTGGATCCCAGCTTCCTGGGGGCGCTGAGTTCAGACCTGTAGCTTCCTCATGCGCTCTGCTCTGCAGGACTCTGAAGGGAAGCTTCTGGAGTCTGGGTGCCTTCCATCCTTTCCACCCAGGTTACAGTATAAACAGTAGCATGTTGTTCCTTTTGATTGTAAACTTCAACAGAAAAAATCACAGGCTGACCAATTTGACTACAAGTATTATTGTTTTCATTGTGATTCCCACCACCTCTGGACGAGCTCCCCTTCAGAAATTTGGTTACTTTATTACAGGGTGATTTATACCTTGGGACGTCCTCCAGGCCCTACTGTATGTGTGTCTGAAGAAGGCATCTGGTGGTCCTTCTCCAGAGCCTGGCTGGAGCTCTGTGTCCATTCAATAGGCTGAGCCATGTTTTGGTCAGACTCCTCAAATTACAGCGCTCAGTAGGTCCATTTATCATTGTTTTCCTTATGCTCCACTATTTATTGTACAAATGGAATATTAGTATGTTCATGAAGAATTTCTTATCAAGTTTGAGGTTTTTTTGTTTTTGATTTTTTAAAAAAACTTGGCTGGTCTGTACATCTCACCTGATTTGTATAAAGACAGTGAGAATAAACATGCTGGTAGATCACCTTAGCACCTTATAGTTAGGTTTCTCTCTTACTGTTACACATTAGCCTTTAAAGAATCAACTTGGTTTACTCGTATTTTCTCTCAAATAAATATTTAGCTTCTTTTTTCAATAGTAAACATTTTTTTTCACAACAACATGCTCAGGAACAACATTACAAAACCATGAGTTATGGTAACACAGTCTAAAAATGCAGTCCATTCAATTCATTTTCATAAATCAGTTTGAAAAGGAAAGTTCAAGAGTTTGACCAAGTTCCTGGATCCCAGAGTGCTGAGACTCATGACTCCACATCTCCATATCTATAGTATGACAAAAGCTAGGACTGCCCAGTTGTAATGTAGGGAGAGAGGATCATGAAATTCATGGAAGTCTTAACTTCCTTATAATTCCTTGATAATTCATAGCACAGGACCCTCAAATCTTGCTAATTATCAAAGACAGAAGTTGAATCGTTGCCTTTCATAATAATGGTACCATGCTCTGTATTTATTTATTCCTATTCACATTCAGTTTCAACTACCTGTGATTGAGTTTGAGGTAGTGTGACTGTGGTTCTGGGAAGTGGTTTGGTACAAGTATCACCTAGAGTATCACATGAGATTTAAATGGGAGGAAAGTAAAGTATTATCTACTGTCTTCTCATTTGGCATAGAAACTAAAAAAGAAAAAAAAAGAGAATCAGCATCTCTTCAGTGATGGAAATACAGGTCTTTTGTGAGCATGGATACAATGCATGGAATCTGTTTCTTTGCATGAAACATGGAATCCAAGGAAAAGGACTCATATTCTCTCGCTACCTTCCAGTTAACCCGCGTAAGAATGTGCATCAGTTCAAGCTTGCTCGCGTAGCATTTCAGCATGGCACAAAGGGACTGGATGAACCAGGATCCATCCTTTGAATTTCGCCAGGAATAGTAACCTACAAGGCAAAATAGAACCAAAATACCACAGATATCTCCTTTTCACTGGAAACAGAAATCACAGATGAACTACCATTGGATCAGAGTTTTATTTCTGCTCTCCCCTCCCATAGGGATGAACAGGTACACATGCAGATAACATAATGAAAAGTGGAGACATATAAAAATATCATTATAGGTGGTTTGGTGTTTTCAATTAGATTTTATTGTTTTAGCACTGGCCTAGCTAAGACATAAAGTGTATATGTATGTGCATACACTCCAGACTGAGAAATGAATGACAATTCATTTCTTTATATTACATCTGATTCAAGTAATATAAACACAAAGCATTAAAAAATCTGACAGGTGGGGCTGGGAAGGTGGCTCAGTGGTAGAGCACTTGCCTTACATATATGAGGCCCAGGGTTTGATTCCTCAGCACCACATAAGTAAAAAGAAAAAAGCCAGAAGTGGCGCTGTGGCTCAAGTGGTAGAGAGCTAGCCTTGAGCTGAAGAGCTGAGGGACAGTGCCCAGGCCCAGAGTTCAGGCCCCACGACTGGACACGCCATCCACCCCCTCCAAAAAAAAAATCAGAAAGATGATGGCAATGCATTTACTGTACTTATTTGCACATTAACTATTAGACTCATTCCATTTAAAACAGAAGTACAGTGAATAGAAAGATGCCCAGAGGATAAAAGATATCATATCAAGCATATGCTAAAATATTAAAAAAATACTTTTACTTTATATTTCCCATACACTGAGTTAGTCATCAATAGTTGTATGATTAATATATTTATACACATGCACATCTGAGGGAAGCCGGGAGGCAGGCACAGAATCAGTGGAAAGCAGGTGAAAAAATACAGAAGCGAGGCCCGGCAGATGCACTGGACATTGATGAAAGTGAACTAAGCAACTCAAGAGTGGTGATGGGAGGGAGGGAAAGAGAAAGAAAGAGGGAACAGGTGATATTAAGCAAAAGGAGAGAAATGTACATATCACCCAATTTCTAAGAAATAGTTTTATTGCAAAAGTTCATAGAGGTCATAAGCTTTGTAGATTAAGATAATGATGATTATCATTGTGAAGGTTAAAATGTATTTCTGACATTAGCTAAGTATAACTATGCCAGAGTACTGTGAAATTTATGTACCAATCTCAATAAAGAAATTTTTGGAGAAAAACATATTTATTTTTTTTTGGGGGGTCCGGTCGTGAGGCCTGAACTCTGGGTCTGGGCGCTGTCCCTCAGCTCTTCAGCTCAAGGCTAGCGCTCTACCACTTGAGCCACAGTACCACTTCCGGCTTTTTTCTTTTTGCTTATGTAGTGCTGGGGAATTGAGCCCAGGGCCTCAGGCATGCAAGGCAAGCGCTCTATCACTGAGCCACCTTCCCAACCCCAAATATATTTATTTATATGATGACATGTAGTACCACAAAAAGGTGGAGGTAAGCAGCATATCCAAGTAATATCTTTTCTCTCTCTCTTTTTTCTCTTCTTTTCTTTTTTTTTGGGTATAGGTGTTGGGGCTTGAACTCAGAGCCTGGGTGCTGTTGCTGTCCTTGAGCTTTTTTGCTCAAGGCTGGCACTCCACCACCTGAGCCACAGCTCCACTTCTGGTTTTTTTAATGGTTAATTGGAAATGAGAGAGTCACAGACTTTCCTGCCTGGGTTGGCTTTTTGAACTGTGATCCTCAGATCTCAGTCTCCTAAGTAGCAAGGATTACAGGTGTGAGCCACCACTGTCCAGCTTGCTTGGCCTTTTCTGGTCAAGGCTAGCACTCTACAGCTTGAGCCACAGCTTCACTTTTGGATTTTTGCTGGTTAATGGGAGGAGTTTATTAGATTTACTCTCAGGAGCTGGCTGGCTGAATTGATAGGATTATAGTCCTGAGCCACCAGTGCACTTCTACTTGTCCTAGATTAATCATGCTTATCTCCGAGCTCACAATCCAGCAATCTCCCTTGTCCACTAGGACATGTTCTAAGGTGCCTAGAGGAGACCTGAATCCTATACACATTGTGTGGTCACACACACACACACACACACACACACACACACACACACACAGCCTGAATCCTATACACATTGTGTGGTCACACACACACACACACACACACACACACACACACACGTTAATGTTTTTTCCATCTTAGCTTCCCTTAGGCAGAGTGGCAAGAGCCTCTGCAGTTTGATATCTGACAACAAAACCTGGATGAAAATTCTTTTTCAGAGGCTTTTAGGGGCTCAAGAAGATGGATTTTACTACATAGGTTTCTTTACTTATGAAGGCAAGACCTTTCATCTCATTTCTGGACAAAGGGATGACTCATAATCCCAGGAGGGAATGAGCAATTACACTATTCAGAGTATCATCCAACTTAAAACTTCTATTGCTTATTTCCAGAACATTCCATTTAATATTTTCAGACTGCAGTGAACCATGAGTAACTTGCAAACACAAAGGGATCTTCTACTCTAATATTACAGGGGGTGACCTCTGACTTAAGATTCAGTTATAAAAAAAAAAAAGATTCAGTTATAGTATAGTGTACTATGTAGTATTAAGTCTATGAGTGGCTTGGGTTAGTTTTCTGATCTCTGTGGTTAAGGTACTATAAAATATAGACAGATTAGCTAATTTTTAGGGATATGGAAATCTTGATAGACTCTGGCTATCCAGTGATAGTCACACTATTATTATTATTTTTTTTGATAGTCACACTATTATTAACCTCTATAGTTATGTCACACACACACACACCCCTATCACATTTACTTTTGGGGACACACACACACACACACACCACACACACATACACACCCTTACATCACATTTACTTTTAGTAACATTCTTACCAGGTGCTGTGGAATATGAATACAGGAAGCACACACACACACACCCCTATCACATTTACTTTTGGGGACACACACACACACACACACACATCCCTACACCACATTTGGTAACTTTCTTACCAGGCACACACGGTGGAACAGTGCCCAGGCCCTGAGTTCAAGCCACACACACACACACACACACGGTGGAACAGTGCCCAGGCCCTGAGTTCAAGTCCCAGGACCTGTACCAAAAAAGAAAAAAATGAAGATTAGATGTTTACAATATTAAAGTTTATTATTAAAGTTTATTACTTAAGACACTAATGAGAAAAGATGACTATAGCTTCTAAAATGCTTAGATACTTGAACTGGTGTTACTTAGTTTGAAAAAACCTACCACAATCTAGTGATCCGCCCATATGTTCTTTATGAAACAGACTGCCATGAGATCTTGCTCCACAGGCGCCTTTCAGTCACTGGTTGTCCCTTTCCCATCAAGGAGCTTCTCTAACTGCTGGTTGATATTTTTCAGATGGTTTTCTGCGGCCAAAAAGCTTTTCGCTTTAAGTAACAGAGCTGGAAGGCTGGATGAATCATACTGTTAATGAAAGAAAATGATAAATTAACAAGTTATCAAAACCTATATAGTCCATGGGGCTGGGAAGGTGGCTCAGTGGTAGAGCACTTGCCTTGCATGCTCGAGGCCCTGGGTTCGATTCCTCAGCACCACATAAGCAAAAAGAAA